AGGTGCAGCCACCACTGCAGACCAAGACAAAACACTCACAATGAAATCCCTACTGAAACTAACATTCTAAACAGTTTATAGTTTTACGTTACCATGAAGAGAGGGCGATTATTGAAAGGTGCTGGCTTTGGCAGGTGTTGTTAAAGAACTGTGATGACATTCTGTCGTGAGTTTCTGCTGCACCATCTCAAGCAGGCTGTCTGGTGTGTGGCTCAGTTCCAAATTAACTTTGGACTTGGGAGCAAGCATAGTCCTGAGTCCACATCATGAGCTACAACCTTCAATACAGGCCTGCATGACCATAACAAGCCCTGCAGTTCACTTACAATTTGTACAGTATCTGGACTGGAATATAAAGGCTTTATTTGTGCAGTCTTTCTATACCATATCTTTGATCCGTTGGTACATCTTGCAGATTCCTGTCTTTAGGACTGCTGCCAAGTTTGAGAGTCTATTGCAGTAAACATTGGATCAAATATAATTAAGTTAGTCAAATCTTGAATCAAGACTGCTTCAAGTAGCTTGAAAAAAAAAAAACCCACTTAATACATGTAGATCTGAGAATCACACGTACACATTGAAGGATCCTTCACTTACGACATTCTGTAGGGTCATGGTTCAGTTTTTTTTTTACTGGTCTAGGTTCTTCCGAATATTCATGCACTGGTGTGACGGATTTTGTTTGAAACAAGATTTTGTTTTCATTTCAAAAGTGCACCGTACATACTGACGAGAAGGAACGGGCCTCACTTTGTTGTGAAAATATGTACAATTTACATTACGCATTTGTGATTTTCCTGCGCATACTCCTTTAAAGTCTATATTTACACCCAGCTCAGTCTGTGCGGTGCCTTTTTCCACCGTGCGTGACCAACGGCAGAATTGCGGCGAGTCGGAGTATATGAGCTGTATGTGTCTACGTGATTTCTTCCTAAATCACTGGCAGCCGTTCGCACAGGATAAAAACTCTACTCAAGTATATGAGATGCAGTGTGGGTGCTGGCACACTTGGGTTTAATGTTTTCATGTTTGTTGTTCCCTGAAGCAAAAATGTGCATTCAGCAAGTTTAATATCCTTCTAGTCTGCCGTGGCTTTTCAAAAGAGCTGCAAACAGTAGGCCTATTCGTTGATTTGGTGCAAATAAAAAAGCTCTGCCTGTGGAGAGGCATGTTGCTTTGTATTCATAGTCTACCTGTTCTTGACTCTTCAAAGTGCAGGAATTCATGGTTTGGACTTCTGATGAGGTGGGTTTTTTATTTTTAAGGCAAATGTTGGGGGAAGAAATTCTGGAGTTTCTTAAGTGCCTGTCCCGATGTATATAAGTTTGTTTGTTTGGTTTTTTTCTTCAGTTTTTAGCCAAAGCAAATGGCCATAGACAGCCAACTAGAAATTATACTGTTTGTCTATGTGTAAAGAGCAAATGAATGAATTTATTTCACCACATTGTAAAGTACATATCGGTACTACTAGTATCAAGAAATTAACGATTAAGGCAGACAGTACAATGGGTAGGATACCGGTGAGCAAATAATTGCTATCAAAGCCGGTCTCCTTAGCAGGTCAGAGGATCAGTTTAAATGAAATTATATTAAGCATTAATGAGGAAAACAAATGAATATCAAAATTATTACAAAAGATAACCCTGGTGTATAATCAAGCAATGCTGGAATGGGGAAGAGTGTTGACAGTTCATGACAAAGCCACATGACATTTCCTTATCTGCATTGTTTTCACCCACCACTGGTTAAAAACAACCAAGAGACATTCCACAAAGGAAGAAAGGACATTCCATCAACCTGTTTTTCTTTTCTTTTTCCAAGTCACTGGCATTGGATGTCTATTATGATTGGGCCTGGCAGGGCAGGATACATTAATTTGGCAGACTTGTCCCCAGGGCATCAGTGGCTCCCCTAGTCAACCTCAGCCCCTCCAGTCTGGCCCTGGCATCAAATGAGGTCACTGGTCTGCTGTCTCACACCATGACCTTTGACATTTAGTCATAACATTGATACACTAGGCATGCTTTTTCATACTCACAAGATTCCTTGCTGGACAACCAAAATGACTTTTTTGATGGAATCTCTAAACACAACTTCATTCATTCTTGACTTCGATTGAAAAACATTTGTCCCGAATTGATTTAAAAAACGAAATGAACAGGAAAAAATACTGTTTGTAGCTTACATAAAAATGCAAAACATTTTCCCAGTGAATAATTGGTACAGTATGTGCAGCTCATTTATTTGCTTTGTGACGTTTTGCGAGACGGAAAGGAACAACCTAATGTCTTCTAACCAACAGCCACTGACTGACATTTGCTACCAATGAGATTAACTGAGTTGAATTTAAGTCCTGAACATAAAATGTAGACATTGGATCTACCGGTTGCTTTATACCAGGCAAGCCTTGTCCTGATTTTTATAGAAATTTGGGCAAAGGAGGACATTTTGTTCCCTATCTTATGAGCTTGCACCACTGGGAATGCCAAAAGAGCAAGGCTAAACATTCCTCCATGGCTAAACTGACTGACCAAGAAGACGCAAGTCTGTGGCCCATATGTTTTTCTGTTTCAGTGCTGGCACTAAAACAGATTGTTCTTGACTTGATTTGTGGTGACAATTTTGGGTTTTTTCCCCGTTGATACAAGTACATGCTCAGCTGTATCTTGCAACTTTGAACTTGTGTTTTTTTGCAGGATGATTTGGTAAGACAATACACTTTAAAAAAAGGAAAAAAAAGTTGCCATTTCTCAGTTTCCCCTAGAGTGCTGTGCTTGTCAGCATGACTCCATCAACCCAGAAACCGTTTGGAATTTGACATTTATATCATCAGCAACTCAATATGCACCCTCCTGGAATATTTTGTGTGCAGTGGTGTGGAATCAGGAACATATTGTTTTGTTTCTTTAAAGTGGGTTTTTATTGTCGCCCACCTGGGAAATCAGCCCCAGGCACTGCACAAAATATGGTACTACACTTGTGTGTAGTGTCTGAGTCTTTCTCTAATTTTGAAGGGATCTTGTCTAAACTGGTATTGCGCCTTTGGCTGGAATTCTGCAGCAAGCCAGCAACTGCTGATTGCTTTTATTTCTCCTTTCCTTTCCAGCTGCAGAGAATTACTCATCCTGCCGGAAAACAATATTTGAAAGGAATTGGCGAACCATTTCTTTAATTGTTAAAGTTGTATAGACAAGGCAATTTAACCTTTTAGGCAATTTAACTTTTAGGAAACTTGCAATCTGTGAGGAGAAGTTTCTGTTAATTAACTAGACTCTAGTCTTTGTCTGTTGGGTTAAAAAGGAAGTCAAAAACCAAAAACAAAACGTTCAACAATCAAACAAAAACAAATTGAGCCGTAGATTTAATTGCCTTTTAAAACTACCATCAACAACATTTTGTACAAATAACAACCTTTATAATATAGATTGTTGCATACTTTCTGTTAATTTATCAGTCCCAAGCATAATTTTGTCGGGTATAGTGATCCTACTGCGTGAACCTTACACCCAGTAAACCCATTGAGTATCCGTTATCTGAAGAATGGGTCTTTTATCTGAATCCTCTTCCCACACTACATCCTTTCTCTGCTGTGCAATAAACAGAATGACCAATATCAGACTTCCCAAAGGAAGTTCCATTTTGGTACCGGTAGGAAACACTTCGAGGCAGGAATATCCTGCCGTGAGTCAATGAAATCAGGCTAAAACTGAAGGTTGTTCAAATTTATTTGAGGGGGAGCAACAACATTTTTTTCTCACCTTGGAACCATTTACATTTTGGAATCTAAGTTCCCGATTTCACTTGTTTCTGAAACTTTGAACAGTACGTGTGTACACGTGTGTGTACATGTACATTACAAATGTGTGGTGTTTGTAATAGCCCATACGTTATAATCGTTGCTTCTAAGTTTAATAGCCTACTAACAGTCAAAAGTTATACAATGTAGCTAACTTAAAACCTGCTGTGCCACTGCTTCAAGTTGCCTATAAGTTCCACTTTCCGGTCATTCCGAAATACGATCCAACATGTACAATCACCATAAAATACAATTGGGATTACAGATTGCATGTAATTCAAGTTTGAAACTGTGGTCTGGTTCCTGTAATGCGACCAACAGCTAAGCACCTCTGACACCAATTGACGCCAATCCAACACCACCTTACGTCCTTTACCACCTGGCTGTGATTGTGTGTAATTTCATAATGGGTCCCTTAGTATCCAAGCAGGTGGCCCCAGGTTGCGAAACCCAAAACGAGAGAGTGTACTCTTTTTTCTTTTTTTTCAAAACTTCTCTGATGGGGTCAAGTAATTAGATTGCTGGCCAATAATTGTATGAAGTGCCCGTAATGGATTGGTATTGAGGTTGTCAGTCACTGCCCTAAGGCTGTGTTTCTTTTATGTTTTCATAATTGTATAAGATTAAAGAAAGCAAGCGCTGGAATGATAAATAGGCCCTACATTTTTTATGAGCCAAAAGGTAATGTCTAGGCAAATGGTAATTCATCAACTGCCAGTATAGATGTTTACTTTTGACAGAATCATTTGAAAGGAAATAGTGAAGTTAAGCGATTTAACCCTAACCTTCCCAAATCCTCCAAACTTCTCTTTGCAAAATGGAGGATTGTGCAGGATTAAGGCTATATGGCAAAAATGAATGGCTGATTTCGGAGGATGCATTACCGGCATGTTAAGGTTTTGGGTCGGACCTTGTGTTGTTTATGCTCAGCCGTGCATAGATTTAGGCCTGGATAATACTTGAAATCCTCCGCACTGCTCCAGGAAGTCACTGGCTCTGTCTCAACATATTAACAGTGATTGCTGGAGGATTTTGCAGGATCCACACCCATTCCTGCAAAGAGCCTTGCTGTACAAAGAAAATTAAAACAAAATCATGTATTTATAATGTAACTTTTTCCAAGGTCATATCATTGTTTAATCACTAGAAAGAAAATGACAATTGGCTTTATGTAAAATCATATTTGGTGTGTCTCTCTTTGCAGAGGAGTTTGAGGAACTGCTGAGATATGGCGAGGCAAAGCTCCAACAGAACTTCCGCATCATGTACATCGGCATTGCCCTGGATCTGGACAATGACGTCAGAAAGCTGTTCGCAGATCTCAGTGAACATTTAAATGGGAATGAGGTGAGCATCCGCCCCCCCCTTCAAAAAAAGGAAGTTATAGTTGACTACTGATGGCCAGTTGGTCACACTTATCATTTTGAGAAATTATCACCTGCACTACTTATTAGTATTACATTGTGTCTATTCCGTGGTGATTCCCCAACCCATTCAGTGCAGGGAGGTACTGGTATTTAGGCAGTTTGATTTGGGGTATTACAGGGACTAATAATGGGTTTATTCTTGGTGGTTTAGATTAATATCATCACAAGACAGTTTTTAAATTGCCTCTTGTCACCAGCAATTGCTGTTTTGGTTGTTTTTTTTTAGCCTGTTCTATTAACAATTTGACAAAGCAAAAGTTTGCTGATGCATTGAAACTCCTGACTCTGAGCATGAATTGCGCTCCTCTGGAAACTGTGTTACGCTGAGTTGATGATGGCATAGTTGAGAAAGTAAAATTCCCCCTCTCTCCCCCCCCCCCTCCCCCCAAAAAAAAACCCCAAAACAAACAAAAACAATTAACATTGACCAAAGCTTCTGTTTTTTTCTTGTTTTTTTCCCCCCAGGTTAAGATTCAAAGGAGTGTCAGAAACTTCTTTGATGAACTCTTCCCCCTCCTGTACAGCCAGATTGACAAGTCCGCGGGCCGCGTGGGCGGCCTCTTCTCCAACTGTCTCTCGGCCAAGCGAGCCATCATCCAGCCCTTTGGCGACATCCCCCGTCAGATGGCTACCCTCCTCTACCACTCTGTGGAGACCTCCCGTATCGTCCTCCGGGCCATCCAGCAGGGCCGGCAGGTCCTGAACGCCACCTTCAACATGGCCCTGGGGAAGAAGTGTGGCCGGTCCCTGCTGGAGATGAACTACTGTGGTCTGTGCGAGGGCCAGCTGGATGCCCCGCCCTGCCGCTCCTACTGCCTGAACGTGGTCCGGGGCTGCCTGGCCAACTTCATGGACCTGGACGGTCCCTGGAACCTGTACGTCACCTCCGTCATTGACCTGATCCGGCACAGCATGATGAAGGACAACGACCTCCAGCAAGCCATGAACTCCCTGGAGTATCTCTTCAATGATGCCGTCAACTACGCCCACGAAAACGAGGGCGATATCACATATGAGGTACGTGAACAAAATAAACAACAAATAAAAAAGCAGTCATAGATCAGAAAGTTGATGCTAAGAACACTATCAGAACAAAGGCATTTGAAATGCAGTAGATTCTTTGTGGCTCAGACTGTATTTTGTAATTCACACAATCAGCTGGAAGGGGCCCTATACCCACTGTTATTGCCACGGCAAGATTGTCTCAGTACTGAGAAAGCTGCATTTAAAGTTGTTGCATCATTTCCTACAGTATTGCGCAGTCTTGCACTCTTTCATTATCTTCCCACTCTACCAACAAAATCAGGTACACAGACTGTGCGGGTATCCCGCCAGGGGGCGGCCTTCTCCCTTCAACGAGTTTGCGGCCGCCAACCCGCCGGTCGTGGATTTCCCCATGGTGCCCAACCCCAGCGTTCCCTTGGACGAGAGGCTGCTGGAGTTTGTGGAGAGCCTGGATCGGTCCAGGGGTGTCTACCACCACCTTCCCACCATGATGTGCAGTGAGGATGAGCTGGGCTCCACACAGGACGAGGAGTGCTGGACAGGCCAGTTGGTCGGAGAGTAAGTCTGAATCCTTTTTTTTTTTTTTTTTATCCATCGCAAAATGATGCGGGTGACAACTTTTTGCCAAACTCTTAAAATGTAGCTCGTTAACCCCAACAGTCCTGAATCCTCTCATTTTAATATTATTTTTTTTTCACACCCTATTAGGCGGTTAAAGTTGGTTGCATTACGCTTTAAATGCAGTTTAGTTGAGTCCATCACAAGTCCTCACAAGATTGTTTTGATTTGTACATGTTCCGCTCTTCCCAAGTCATTTGTAAATACTTGTGAGCTATTTATCTCTGTCGAGCAAGCCTTGCCCAAAGGGAGACAGATCCTGACAAAAGTTTCCAACCCCTTTTTCCCCCCAAGGTGCATCGCCATTCAAAAACTACAATTTATTTCCATCTGATTGTCATTGGGTCTGCTTCAAAACAACCCCTGCCCATACATGTACCTTTTCCCCAGTGAAAAGCTGTTGTTCACCATTACTGGAGGATTAACGTTTTTTCTCCTAGAGAGGTCTTAAAAAGTAGAGTGGAGTCCATTTGCAGCCATCTAAAAAGTAAACCGACCAAATTATTGAATATATTAATAGCACTAAACTCCCTGTGAAATGATTCCTTCTGGCATGATGTAATTTTGAAGAAAGGAAGGTCATTTCCAAAGATGTGTCTAGTGACACATTTTTTTTTTACTGTTCTGTGTGTGTGTTATTTATAGCTGGGGCATATGCGTGTATGTACTGTGGCAACCAATCCAATATGTGACAGACATAGCAGCATGCATGAGTGTTACAATCTTTTCATTTTGTGCTCTGGCCGGAAAACTAAAGGACAATTATGTCTGGAGGACTGACAATACTGTGTGTGTTTTCCTTTATCCCACAATGTCTCAGTCAGCTTTATTGCGTTCTATCTCAATCACATATCAATTATTTGAAATTGTCTCATCAAATATTGAAGGACTTATTGAAAGTGTTTAAAATGACTAGAATTTAGCTAAGAATTCAAAGAAAGAAAGAAAGAAAGAAAAAAGAATAACCCCTCCCGACAGAAAGACAGAAAGAAAGGAACAAACAAAACCAAAAACAAGGAAACTTAAAAATTTTTAAAGTATAAATATTTACAAAATATGAACAAACTAGAAAATTGATACCGTATTACTTGTACATGCAGAGAATGATTAAAAATCTGTGAGTCACTGAAGTTCTACATGTGTGTATGTATGTCGCCAAAGCAAAAAATGTGACGCCCACCTTGAGTGAAAATATTATGTTCTATCATCCGTGTATATAAACGAAACCAAACTCGACCTTTTTTTTGTTTTTTTGGTCGAAAAGCCGAACACAATCAACTGATTCTGTCAAGCACAACGAACTTGATTTAAACCTTTCAGCGATATGATTTTGTCCCGTAATGTACTCTCAACATTCCATCAATAATTCAACAATGTCCTATCACCCCCACGATGGGCACTCTGCTGAACCCAATTACATTTTCCGTAAACATTTTTATCAAGAGGGTCCTTGTTGCTCGTAAAGCGCACACAAAGAGAGTACGTATACACAGATCTCAAGAGGGTTGAAACTTGCGTTCCCCTTTTCCATAAAGTAACTAAACATTGCATGAACATGTCACGACATTCCTGAACCGAATTCATGACATCCGCCCTCCCGATATTGACTAATCGTCTTTCTTGAATGCTGATGTTTACAGGGAAAAAAAACAGAATCAACGGAAAAAAGAAAACATCAAAATGGTTCTGAATGTCAGGGTGGAGCCAAGGGGCAGGAGTCAAAATAAACTAAATGTCAAAGAAAAGAAAAAAGGAACTAACTTAATACGGTGAAACTAACTTAAATAATTTTGAGCCTGTACCGGTAGGTCCTGTAGACATGTTGCAACCCCTGTTGTGACGTCCTCTCATAACTGAAATATCTGTTTTTCTTTCGATCAGCCAGACAACTGGCACATTCATATCTGCAAACTATTTGCCGGTACATTGTGCATACTTTTTCTTTTTAGAGCGCGCTCCCATGCTATAAGTAGTGCATGTGTGGCATATTTCAGACGTTTTCCCCCACATTAAGTTTTACATCATCAATGCCGGTATGTCAGGGCACTAGAATATCTCGTAGAGGCCCCATTTTATGCACTGTTGACCTGCTACTCAACCATGTCTGCTCCTGGCATCACCAAGATGCATCTAGCACCGATGGGTTTTCTAGGGAGGACCGACAGAAACATTTTGCAGATTCTGTGTATCACACTCACAAGACTGTGAGGCAGCCCTTGGCCCGATTCAAACTCAATAATCCCTAGTTGGGCATTAACCTCTATCCAGCCAGCAATACATCACACATTTGGGACACCCTCTGAATCAAAAGTCAGAGCCATTATCACATCCATACTTTGCAGCGATGAGTGATGCTCACAAAGCATTTCTCACTTCATCAAGAACTTTCTGAAGAATTTTCTCCCCTCTATCAAAAAAAACCAAACGTATAGGATTTCTCGTCCAAAGTCTACCTTAGATGTTTCGATTGCATTTAAGGAATAGAATTGTGGGGTAATAAAGAAAAATGTGCTGACAAGTCCAGCACATCCAAGCTCGTAAATGTTTCCTCACGCCATAAAGATATTTACTTTTGAACTGGCTTGGTTTATTTTGGAACTTGCAGATATTTGTTGAAAGTTCAGTGTGCAGCATGCATTCATGTGCACCGTAATGTTAAAAGACATGAGCGAAAATACAGGTGCAGTGAATGAAGCTGTTGGATTGTATTTTAATGTATCTTCTAAGCTGAGGGTAATGCTTTGAAATTGACAGATTTATTTTGTTACACTGAACACCTAGAAGTACAAACATGTGTGCATCATAGAATACTCTTTTCTTTGTTGCAAGTTCAAGTTGTAGTCATGTTGGCTGTGGTGCATCTTAAAGGCAATATAACATTCAACAAACATCAAAAAATTCTACCAAATTATTATGAAATACTTTACTGGATTGTAAGTGAATAATAGTCTCACTTGCATCCTGTGAAGTCATGGCCCCTGGTGTGCTGTCATTTTTTAGTTAGTACAATCAGGACTTTTCACATACATGTACACTGTACGTAAACGGTGTTAGCCAGCTACAAGTATAGTCTGGTTCCCTGACCTGACAATTCCCCGACATCTATAAATTGCTCCGTTTCGTCTGAAGTACCGGTAGGGTCAAGGAACCAGACTATAAGAACAGCATTTTTTTTCCTTGGTTTTTCAAGCATTTATAAACACAAAACAGGTCAGTGTAACAATAGTTGTAGTACCAGTATAAAATATCAACCCCCAAATCCATCCATTTCTGAAAATTACCGTGAACAAAAGCAAATTCTGTAGGCCCTAGGCTATAATCTGTAAGCTAGTTTCCCCATGTCCTCAACCTCAAATTCCCCTCCAGTTTTCCCCTTGGGCCTACCAATGCAGCCAGAGGTCCCCTTTCCTTTCTGCCTGAATGCCTGCCTATATTCACTCATCAATCAGAGAGAGAGACCTCAGCTAACATCGTCAGATATGCACACACTGTCATGATTGAGTGAATGGCATCTGTGACTGCACAGCTGGCAGAGAATACACAATTCCTCTCTAGGACAGTTATTAAAAGAGGCAAGATGTAAGTGTCCTCTCTAGGACAGTTATCTCTAGGACTCTCTAGGACTGTCCTCTCTAGAACAGTTATTAAAAGAGGCAAGATGTAAGGAGGAAACAAAGGTTGCGCTCAGTCAGAGGACCGGAAGGCCAACTTGTACAGTTTTCTATTTCTCTTTGCAATTCAGTTGTTTGGTGACTTGCTCCCACAGAATGAGAGGACAGTTCTTAAGTATCATCATTTGCAAGTGTTGTACATCATTTTCAAGTTGTATGTTTTTACACATATTTTCACCACAGGGGTGTGAAATCTCAGCTTTAAAGCTGATTTCAGCTTTTTTCCCTCACTTGCTGTGTACAAAAGTATAGGAGATTTCCGAAGTTCAGCTTTTTTGCACCTTTTTCAGCTGTTTTCAGCTATTTTTATCAGTGGTCACTCACATCCCTGCACCAAGAAAACTTGTTTTTTCCCTCCTATTTTGGGCATCTACCGTTCAACCGTCTGAAAAAGGCTGTCATCTTGCGTTGCTTTGGTACAACTAATGCACAGCAGATATAATTTACACAATGTATGTCTGAAAAATTGTATGAATTTGTAAAGTAATTATTATTTTTTAGTTCCACCACTCGTTCACTACATGTACAACGATAACAATTTGAGAAACAAATTTATGTAATCGTCAGAGTGAATGTCAAAAATAGCATGGACACATCGGTACACCTTTAAAATCTCATCACATGATTTATTGTTGTGAGTGTGACTTTGTTCTAATTTGCAGGACAAGATCACAATAATTCTTTTTCTCTGTCCCCGTCGTAACAATTTACATTTTACAAACCTCTAAGATAGTGTATTTAAAGGGAATATACATCATTTGCTTTTGCTGTAATTTTCAGAAATGGATGGAATTGGGGGGTTGGAAATATATAGCAAATATAGTTACACTGACTTTGTTGAGGTTTTGGGTTCGAAAATGCTATAAAAACCAAGAAAAACAATCATTTTCCTGTAGTCTGGTTCATCCCCTGACTCCATATAAGAAGAAACAGAGCAGTTTACATACATTGGGGAATTGTAAGGTCAGGGAACCAGTCTAGCTGGATTGTACCCGGTCATAGGTGTGTAATCGATTGCAAACAAGTGCGATGGTCAATTGGGGCCAGTATTTGAAAAAAAAGCCAGTTTTTTCCAACGCTGGTCGGCCGACCAGCGTTGGAAATTGATACAAAAATACCACTTTTCTTGAAAATGACAGTATACCAGGTGCCATGATTTTACAGGATGCTTTACACTGTCATTCACTAACAGTCCAGCAAGGTATTTCAAAATGATTTGGTAGTTTTATTTTTTGATGTTTGCAAATGTTGTATTTTCCCTTTAACTTC